GAGAGAGAGAGAGAGAGAGAGAGAGAGAGAGAGAGAGAGAGAGAAGCAAAGGAAGAAAAGAAAAGAAAGAAAGTTTAAGATCCTTCTTTGTGCCCGGCCTTGGGCTGAAGAATAGAGATACTGAGTAACAATGATTTAGGGCTCTTGCCCTCAAAGAGCTCATAGTCCAAAGACAATCCTGCCAGCAATAATCAGCATGTAGCACAGGTTATACTGTCTCTGGTATCCACACAGAATGATGGTACCACAGACGAGACATGTTGCAAATAGGCATGAACTGGCAAAAAAAAAAAAAAAAAAGACCATTCTAGGGCAGATAATATTAAGCCAGTGTAATCTCCACACCAGTTTACATCTGTCACCCTTGATGTTAACAACCAACAAAGTTCCTGACAAACAACACAGTCACACAGTTCAAACAAGAAGGAAGGAACATGAGGAAAGGGACAGATGGGGCACAAGATAGACCAGCCTGAGAAGTCTCCCCGGGAGTCCCCCCCCCCCATCTCTGTCTGCTCTTCAGCTAAGCACAGGAAGATTAGGGGTTTGCTTCAGAAAATAATTCTACAGCTTCAAGCTATTGACATGACTGCAGCTTCTAGAATACAGCCAAGCACAAGCATGTCACTATCTCATTTGCTTTTGTTCCCTCAACTGTCACTGGGCTCAAGGAAAAATGTACAATGACATCATCCCTTCCCAAACTCCAGCCTAAACCCCTGCCTGGCTCCCCAGAAATCTACCTAGCTCTTTCTATGGCTTAATAATTTGTGCAAGAAAGAAGAGACATCATTTTTGCAGTAGGAAAAATAAATTTTGAGATTCAGAATCAAGACCTAGGTTTTGCTTTATCATCGTGCCTGTGAATCACAGGTCCAGTCATGGCCCAGTTCTGTTAGTCTTGGACATCTTGGGGGAACCACATGTTGTATTTCTCTTTACCACACATTGCATTTCTCTTTAACAAAATGCTCCTACTCAGACCACAAAAGGGATTTGACTTTCAGTCTTCACACATGCTAAGATTATTTGTCTCAAGGGCAGCCCACAAGCTCTGTTTCTGCAACTTATTCTTGTGGTTTCATTTTAAATTTTCCCTCCTTTGGTTTCTAATCTATGGAAAGTATTGACATTTTAAAATACCTAATTTAAAAAAAATTTTTAGAAAATTTTTATAAGTACAATTGTATGTATTTATGTGGCCTAATTCCAGTAAAAAAAAAAAAATGTATAATGGTCAGCTCAATCTAACAAGAGAGTAATCAGCTTAAATATGGTTTGTGTGTGTGTGTGTGTGTGTGTGTGTGTTGAGCCACTCAAGATTTTCTCTACTAGTAGTACTAAAATACGCAATAATTAAATTTGCCCAACTGTAGTTACCCTACTATGTTCTAGAATTTTGAAGTACTTCCACCTGTCCAAAAGTACTTTAGCACCCCGTTATCCATCATCTCTCACAATTCATTCTGTGTGTGTCTGTGTCTGTGTGTGTGTGTGTGTCTGTGTGTGTGTCTGTGTGTCTGTGTGTGTGTGTCTGTGTGTCTGTCTAACTTAAGTATGTACCTGTTCATGCTTGTATACACATGCATATGGAGTCCAAAGGTTGATATCAGGTTTGGTTTTATTGAGATAGGTTCTTTCAGAGAATCTGGAGCTTACTGATTGACTGGCGACCAGTAAGGTCTAGAGAGGAATCCATCGCCTCCTCCCCAGTACGGGGGTGGGAGTGAGGATTACAAAAGCATGCCAGGCCTGGTTTTTTAACATGGATGCTAGG